AGCAGAGCAGTGTTGACATTTACATCTTTAACTGCAGGCTTGTGAAGATTTGCTTATGTTCCTGTTTTATTTACTGCAGCAATCTGCAATGGAGGTGGAGTTCCTTGAATATTTAAAAAAAAAAAAAATTACAAAATATATAATCTGGGTAGACAAATGAAGTGCATAGTTGAAGACTGCATCTTCTCTCAATTTAGCATTTACTCAGTTTTAACAATTTTATATTTTGACCTGTATAGTGAAATAGATGAGGCAAGACTTAAGATTAAATTGAGATCAAATTACTGAGAAAATTTGCATTATGCTACTGCTAACTGTACTAGAAGCTGAGTATATTCTTTGTACTTATTTTTCAATAAGATGTTGCTACCTACCTCATGTCCAATAGTAATTTAACTTGCTTGAATGAAAGAAAATAGTATTAAAATAACAAATATATGGGCATTTAAGTGTATATATAGATTAGTTTCAGAGAAAATACTTTACATAAAATCAGTAAAGATTCAAAAAGACAACATTTTTAAGAAAAATCCTGAATTTAGCTTTTAGTTTTTACTTGGAAGTGGAGGACTAAGGCTTAAAAGCGACTGGTGTGACTGACTTGTCTGCTGTGTTATCCCTTCAGCGCGCGCCCCCCCCTCCCCCCCCTCCCCCGGCTTGTGTGTCATTAAGCTAGAAAGCAACTTTCTGCGCTGTCTGCAGCAACTCCATGTAAGTTGCAAGTGAGCAGCTCTTCTGCATCAGAGGCTGGCTCTGAGGAACAAGCAGTTTGGAGGGACTTAACTTGCTTGGCCTCTAACAGCTGATGATGCTTCTACTGGACACCATTGGTGAAATGGAAACTTCTGTAAGAACAACTCTAGAAGAAGTGGGGTTCCTTATAGCATGCAGAAGTGCTGAACAAGGTGATACTTAAAACCAGAATAAATACTCCGGTGCACTGTGCATCTAATCATTAACAGCCTTATTTTCAGAGGTGCTAGATATGCAACTTCTGGCTCTCGAAGGAGCAATAATACATGAACTTTCCTTTCAGTTGTCACAGAACACTTAGCACGACGGGCTAAAGGCATACTACTATGATGAGTTTTCAAGTAAAACTATTTGAGGTCTAATCACTGAGTGATAACTACAAGGCAGTTAGTATTTTCAGAGGCAAAAAATTGATGTGAGAACAAGATAGTTAAAAGGCCATTTTTATTAAATATGGTAGTAGATAAATAACTATTCTCAGGACTTACAGTCTCAAGATTTGAGTACCAAACAATTAGTGATACTTTGTTTCTTCCTACTATGGATAATGAACAACCCAGCAGATTATCCTAAAATGATGACATGATAGAGTCATGTATACAGTTGGCTAGTACTTCTCAATTTAAAGATAATCTGGACATGGGACCCATCACCACTAGAACAACACACCCCTGGCAGTGACTCCTTAGATTGTGCTAGCCTGTGTAATAAGCATCTGGTTAAGTTAAAACAATTTTATGTTGTCAGTTTTGGAGAGCTGAATCATTCAACTGAAAATGAAGTAAGGTGCATGCGTGTAATTGCATGTGGAATAGATGGTATCAGCTCTTCACTAAATTACATTGCTCAGTAGTTTTCCTGTTACCTTTGAGCAACCAGCTAAGAATAAAAGTGAACTCTGTCTGTCTCTTTGACTGAAGTGTTTTGCTGTTGAGATTTTTCTGATCTTTCTTTTACATAAACTGTTTTCATCAAATGATTCAACGCTGACTACCTGGCAAGGTTCATTAATTAAAGGTATCTGCTAAATCAGGGTGATTTTTCCCTTTACCTTTGCCACCTCATCTTTGCTGTCCCTGAAATCAGGAAAAAATAAAGACAGCTTATGACTTGATCATTAATTTTGGAATGAGCTAAGTAACCTTATGAATAAAGAAAAGCTCAAGAGGCATCTGAGATGAATTTCCTAGCACCTGTCCAATATTTCTGATAAAGGGGACAGGAACAGGTGTGTGTGTTTTTTTTTTGTTTTTTTTTTTGCACACATTGAGTTAAAAAAGCCCCAAACTGGAAAAGAAGTGAAAAACCTCTGTGCACATGGAAACTAAACTGATTTCTGAGACAGTTCTCAAAAGGAGCCAGAGCAAAATTCAAATACTGCTTAATAGGTAAAAACGTTCACTGCGGCGAAGGTGAAGCTACTGCTTGTGTTCTGGTGCTGTCATTGTTCAGAGTCTAAAATTATGCTGATAATACTCGATTTTAATTACTGAAATCTGATGGTGCTAATTCAGTCCCCTACTGGCCTACTTTTGAAGCTTTTGTCTGAGAATGAGCAAGCGGGCTCAGAAACGTCACTACAGAATTACTTAGAATGAAGATACATGTTAGAAATACTAGAGCAATTAGTGACTGAAGCTATCAGAACGGTGAGTTGTGTTCCCAAAACATCTTATCGTAGAACAGTGTAATTGCCATAATCCTAGGACTGGGGTTATTTTGTCCCTGCTACCAAATGGTTTATACTCAACTTGAATAGGCACCTGTTCTGTTTTGGGTTTTTTTTTTCCCCTCTCCTCCTACAAAGTTTACAGGTCGCAGCTGTTAACTCAGCAAGTTAGTAGCTCAGCTTGTCCGATACATATGTCAAGCATCTTTCTTTTTTTAACAGAATCCATCTAATTCTCCTAAAATACTGAAATGTTGTTTTTTTTTCTTTTAAAGATGTGTACCTTAATGAGCAAAAAACTCACCCCAAGCTCAGCTTCCCCTTTCTCCCAAGAATTCTGACTTTTGCTGCACAAAGATTTTACTTAATCAGGCTGCTTTTAATAAAATTTTGTTCGTTATTGAAATTAAAATGGAGATGGCATATTTCTGCAAAGCTATGGGATTTCTTTTATGAGACAACAACAGTTCACCTATGTAAAGATAATAAACTCTGTGGTAACAGTAACGCATGATATCATTATTAGTCTGCATCAGAAATTCAAAAGATTGCCTAGAGGCAATCTTAGGCAACCTGCCTATTAATCTTTCAGTTAATTTCCTTAGATAGTCTGCTTTTAAGCAAATGTCATCTTTAGCCTTGTCTTCTCAGAATGCTAACCCTATGTTTTTAATGCACAGGAGAAAGTTTGAGAAAATAAAAATCCTAAATCTTTCCTTTCTGTAAAGACATCACAGAGAAATTCTAAATTTATGCCTCCCTTCCAATGTAACTTTAAAAAGGCTTCATTAAAAAAAAAAAAAAAGTCATTATTTTTCTTTCCAAACAGTGCTTTATTGATACTGTTACATTTATTCAGTATTCAGACAGTTGATTTAATCCCTTCCTGAAAAGATCCAGGTTACTATTAGGTTTTATTTTTACATTAGAACAAGTCTTTCACCTTATCACAGAATAGGTGTCCAATATCACAGAGCTAAAGCAAAAGTCTGTTAATGTCCACTGTGCTGGGGTCCTGCCATTTCCTTTGGGTGGTTTGTACAGACAAAATCAAAATGGGAATGCTGTCAGGCAGGCCTTTTACAGGAAAGCTGCCAGTTCTGTGCCTTGTAATAATAAGGCCCTGGTGCCTTGTTTCTCTGGATAGAGAATCGCAAGGAAGACCTCTATATTCCTACTCCATACCATATTGATCAAATGCAACCCTAAAAAGCCCTAGATAAGTGCTACCTATTGCTTACTTCTCACTCATGCTGAATATTATATATTACTATGTAAAAGGTCAACAGGAAGAAAATATATGCTCCTTTCCAAAACCTAACCTACACAACTGATTCTGCTCCCCCAACCCGAGTCACACATCACATGCAACAGCAGCAAGTTAAAAGTTTTGGTTTTTAAATGTACTTTGGAAAAGCTGTACCTCAGAGAGCCTTCTGTATGGCGCATCCCCTGCCAGCTCTCAGCCACGGAGGAGTTCAGGACAGACTTCGCTTGGAATTGTTGCATCTGTGGGCAATTAACAGAGAGAAAAAAATTAAAACAAGAAACAATGCCTGTGTAGGGCATCAACTGAACTGCTTAAAGAAGAGGAAACAAGGTCAAAAACAAAATTGCTGACCCATTTTTTATGCTTAGGCGCTTAAGATGCAGACTAGCCTGTACTCCATCTGTTTCAACTCTGTTATTTTCATCCAGAAGCAGAATTTTCAGTGGCCGTGTGAGAAAAAAAAAACCTGCCCAAACACCCCAGTGGGGACATCCCAGCACCACTGACATTTTATTTCACGATTTTCTTTGGGGTTTGAATGCCAATAGCTGGTCTCTAGCCAAGGAGGGCCAATATTCTAAATACACTGCTTCAGAAGAGCAAAGCCATGGAAGATTTTTAACTAAATGTAGTGGTAAAATGTTTACTTCTCCACATACTGTGCAACAGCCTTTATGTTAAGGAAACTTGCTATTGAAGAAAGAAGTCTAACCTTTAATCATGCAAATGTTCCCTCCTTCACTTCAAAAGCCAAATTAAAATTACAAGTCTTGCAAAGTTTGCTGCTTCGGACTATACCTAAAACAAGCAGTTGTTTTCCAGTGGCATTACAATCACATCTATTTGATAGTGGGGATCCAAAAATTCCCTGGAGCTGTGTTCACTTAGAATTGAGTGAAGGGGGTTTCTCAAGGAAATCACAAACAATAGGACTCCTGTTCTCTCCCTTCCTTCCTTACAGACATATGCACGCATAAACATGCATGAGGCACATCCCATGGAGAGGAAAAGTACAAAACAGATTAGGACATACTGAAGAGGTACGAATGTGAGATATTAATGAAAAAAAAAAGCAGGAAGCAAAGGAACATAAAAAGGATAGATGAAATGAGAATGGAAACGGTATTAGAAGAAGAGAATGTGAAAGAAAGAGAAGTGTATACAGTTTTTGCACTTATGCCTGGCCAATTGAACTACAGCTCTTAGGGCAGGTACTAGATAGGTGCCAATAGATCTGGACTCTGCTGACTGCTGCTGCTTCTGCCTCCCAGGACTCCCATGCCTCCAAGGATGCTATAGCTGCAGAAATAACTTCAAGGGACAGAAAGTAACCCAGGAAGGTTTGGGAAGAGGGAGGGATAAGGGAGGGAAACAGTTAAGATAAACGTATAAATATATTGTAATGCTGCTAGTGACAAGTCATGCGTGCCATTCATGGACAGAAAAAAAACGAATGGGAACTCTGTCATCACAAATATATGGAAGGGGCAGAATTAAAAAAAAATAGAAAGAAAGAAATGATCTGAAGTAACAAAATGAGTAATAGCAGAATGGTAAGGACCCAGTGAAAGCCAGTTAAAAGAGACAGTTCCAGCCAAGGCGAGAGTGTTGCCATGGATTTCAATAGGAATCAGATTTTTAAAGGTGTCTGCAATCACATTAAAATGGAAAAAGTTCAAAGCGTAGAGTACAGTCAAGATCATCTCCAGAAATGAAAGCCTCCCTCAGCTCTGTTGGTGGTAGAGAAAACAAAATGCACAGGGCAGCTGTGTTAGGAAGCAGAAAAAGCAGAACACTGACAGGTAATACTGCATTCATAAATAAGTACGTTTATTACTTTCATTCTTCCTAATGCCCTTTGGGAGACTGTAATTATTTTTTGGTCTTTACATTGTTACTAGCTCTTCAAAATCTTGCACTCCTCCTGAACAACTGCTCCTGAACAGCTGTCCTGAACCTGATGCAAGAGGAAAAAAAAAAAGGCTCAAAAAAACCAAAAAATCCTAACCACCCCCTCCTCCACCCTGAAAAGTATTTGCTTTTGGATTCTTATAGAAATCCCCTTAGTACAATAATATACATATATTCCCAAAGCAATGCTCCTAAAAGCTATATTTGCTTTATTTTATGGGTAATCTGTTAAATTAGTCTGATACTTTCAGTGATCTCCTGTCGAGTTCATGACTAACAACCTCCAAATACTTAAAAGATTTAGTTATGAAACCCAGACACAGAAAATGTGAACTTGCTTGCCCAACTCTGACCAATATAGTTATTGAATTAGGGAAACTGATTTATGGTGAGGGATGTCCAGCCGCTGCCTATGCATTTTAATTTTACTGATTGAGCCAGACACTTAAATAAATTAAAGTATTTTGCAATCAGTGAAAAACAGGATTCTCTAAACAAGAACAAAAGCCCTGAAGTCAAAGCTGCAGGGATACAGATAACAGCTGACCTTAGCACTAAAGCTTATGGTCTGTTCCAGTGTTAATACTGCAATCCAAGACCTGCAAAACGCAGAACTACCCCTCACACGCTCATCCTGTAATCTCAGACAGTAACGAAAACCCAAAGCTTTCACTCAAAAAATCACAGTGTGCATATGCTGTGTTTTCAGTTTTCTGCCACTGTGTTAAGGATCCATTCTGACATTTGCTGTAAATACATGGTAAGTTAATCAAAGGGTAGCTGGCTCTAATGTCCACTCAGTGCAACAATTTGTCTCTGGGTCATGGCTACACGTATTTTTTGGGTGCAGTACAAGTTAATGCACAAGGTTGTCCTCCAGAAGAGCTTATATGCCAGTTTGTTGTAAGCTGCAAATTGCTTCTGGAGATGAAAGACGTCCTTTTCTGTTACTGGCTGTAATGCAACTGTAACGTACTGACCCTTAATGATTCTGGAACAGTTTCAAAGCTAGAGATAGGCTATGCACAGCTCAGTGCAACCCGACAGTCCCAAAAAAAGCATATTACTAAAGTATTCAGCTTTCAAACTTACAACTCAGAAAAAAGAAGTATATGGACATAACATTATCAAAACCCTTACAATAATATACCTGCCACAACAAGTCTGGTCTTCACATGGTCATTTTTATGCAAATGTAGCATTCAGTAAGATTCTTCATGTAACATGTAGGTAAACATTAGGTAGGTAAACATGTAGGATCATGAGATCCTAAGAAACACTAGGAAATCATAACTTGATATATACAGTGCCAGGAAACCAGTGGAATTCACTTTATGTTTATATATCTCATATGCAATAGAAGAGAGATTTTTTAATTCTGTTTAGTAATCTCCCAAGTTTTGAGTAGTCCTGACAATTTCCATGGGATTATTGGTTAAAATGCTAGTCACATCAGGTAACGTCCTCTCTAAATCTATGCAGACAATTATTGCAAGTTTTACCACGCTCACTATGAAGATAACAGAAGTACACTCTCAACTGAGATTAACTTGCCTAAAGCATGAAAACAGGAGGTTTAAGTACTCATTACACCAATACCGTCAAACATCAATTTTGCAACATTATCTTATGAATGCAAAATTTACATAAGTGTTTGCCATTTTTAGGTGAGATTTTAGGTGAGTGATGTCAAACTTGCACATATAATGGATTATAGTGGTTTCCCAGAGCTGACAGTAGTAGGCAAAGCTTCTTCTACTATGTTTAAAAGCAACTGACATTTAAGATAGGAAATAAGCAAGGAAGTTCGGAGCTGGAGCTAAGAGGGAAAACCAAAACAGCCATCTATATGTTTGCTTTTTTTGTTGCTTTTTTAAACACAGACTTTATTAAAGCTAAGAACTAAGAACAGAAATGTGGATCCTGTCTAGTAAAAGCCAGAGTTTGCTACTGTAAGTACTGAATCCCAAATTTGCTGGTATCTTAGGATTTGTTGCAAATCAAAGCAAGGTGTGTGTGTGTGTGTGTGTGTGTGTGTGTGTGTTTATGTGTGCGTGCGCGCATGCATGTGCATGTTAAAAATATATCAGCTTCACCCTCTTCCAGGTATCCCCTGCTAGTTAATGTATTGTTTTCTGTTCATATTTTCAGAAGATCCCAGGTGATTCAGCAACTAAAAACTTGCCATCACATGGTTTTTTGGTTTTGACTCAAAATGGACACTGCAAAATCCCATCCTGCATTTTTATATTGAGAATATTTTTGGAAGCCATCATTGTTTTATTTGTTGCTGTTGCTTTTTTCTTTTTTTAAATATATTTTACTACATTGGCAAATGCCCATTTTTATGCCAAGAAGTTAATTCTACAGGCTGTATTGCAAGATGCACATTTTTCCACTCTACAGTGTAGAATCCTTTCATGTGTGATATATTGCAGGCAGCTGAGCCACAGAAATTTACAGCTAATATACAAATAACTCCTAGAGTACAGTTCTTCATTTTGCCCCAGCAGCCTTGCTGCAAGAAGCACAGTCAGTCTGCATAACTTGTGAGCAACCTCTGTGGCAAGTGGAGCTCTGCTCTTCCCGGAATCACTTATTTAGCGTGTCTTCCCATCACTGTAATGTTGTTTAAGAGCGAGTTCTCTCACTCGAGTCAGCGCTAATCCTTAAAAATACTCTGAAGCCTCAGATTCATCTTGATGAACTAAGGGATAAGTTCCATCCAAATTTACATTCTCTGCTAAATTAAAACCTTTTTGTACCTCTCATCCATAAACTATTAATAAAATGCAAATCCTTATTACTTAAGCAAAAGTAGTAATAACAAGGAAAGAAACTTAATTTACCTGGTCAAAACTGAATTTTCTTTCACCTCCAGCCCATACCCAAGAAGACAAAAATATGATCTCATGCTGTGATTCTACCAAATTGAATTGCTCCAAGAAAGAGCCAGCACTGAGCTAGCTGTACAACGATACTAGGACACCAAGTCCATGAATTGAAGTATAACAGCAGCAGTAAATCACTGTTTTCACTAATTTGCCTTGAATTTGTTAGCTTATTAATGGGTCTGGGATTTTCATTTTAATTTCCTGTTTAATGGCAGTTCTAGAATTTATTGCCATTATAAAAATTGTTTCGAAAGAAATTGTGTGATGAATACGTTCATTAAAACTGCTGCAGTTTTACTTTGTGTTGCAGAAGTCAGGGTGGTAATGATTTGCATTACAAATGCATGAAGTAGTATAAAAATTCCTTGAATATGAATTTGTACCTCACTGCTCTGCAGTAAAAAAAAAAAAAAAAAAAAAAGAGCTCTTCCATC